AAAAGGACCTTCTCCTACTCCGCTCCTGTTTCCTGGAATATCTTGTAAAAAGATCTGAAGCTCTCGACCTTTGACCTCTCTAAGTGACTTTAATAATCTGTTGGACTCCTGGCAGGGACCGATGCAGACATGTTCCTGTTTTTAGTTTTCTACATTCGCCTTAGAATCTAGCTGTTTTTGTTACTTTTTTGGCCATCATATTTGTATAAAACAAAAATTGTCGTCTTCAACGGCTTTAGCTCTCTCCCTAACTACGTACCCCTCGTTATATCCACAGGTGTTATATAATTAGCTGCACTCCATGTCTCAGAATATGTTTTGCCACTGCAACACTTCTTTCAGCTGCTCCATTAGCCTGGGGGTAGTGTGGACTAGATGTTGTATGTTTAAAGTTGTATGCTGCACTGAATTGCTTGAACTCAACTGATGTAAACTGCATTCCATTATCAGTTATCAGCTCAAAAGAGATCCCCCGTCTAGCAAAGATATCTCGTGAGAAATAATCCACTACAACCAAATAATGTTTCCCATTATACCATACCACGTGGATTAACCCTAACCCTAACCACCATTATGATCACAAATGTCAGCTGCAACCTTCTGTCCTGCTTCATCTGGCAGAGGTGTTGGAATCAAAGGCTCCTTTCTTTGAGATGCTTTATTTTCTTGGCAAAACTTACACATTCTAACCAACTCTGTGATGTTTCGTCCAATCCCTGGCCACCATACTGACATGTTGGCTCTAAGTCTGCATTTAGTTAGGCCCTGGTGACCATCATGAATCTGTGACAACACCTGTTGACGCAGTAGTTCTGGAACAACAATTCTGTCGTCATACAGAAGTAGACCATACGTTATCGACAGATGAGCTCTGGCAGCATAAAAAGTCCACAGGGTGTTAGGAACCTGTGATGGTTCTTCAGGCCACTTATTATTGACATAATTACATACAGTCTGTAAATCTGCATCTTGACGGGTGGCTCGTCTAATGGCATCCAATCTGTCTTTTATTATCAGCCTAGTTTCAATCACTGCCTGTACATATGCTCTGACATCATCTTCTGTGTCTGATTCACCAGTGATTGGTAAAGGGTTGCGTGACAATGTGTCAGCCACAATGAGTTGTTTTCCTGGTACATGGCACGCTTCTGCGTTGAACTTCATCAGCCTCATCAGGAGTCTTTGACACCTGATTGGTGCTTTGTCCAAATCATAAGAGTTTATTAGTGGGACAAGCGGCTTGTGGTCTGTTTGGAGACTAAACTTTTTCATACCCTGTAAGTATCTTGAAAACCTTTCACATGCCCACACACTTGCAAGACATTCTTTTTCAATTTGTGAATACCTTTGTTCAGTCTCAGTCAGCATTCTAGAAGAGTAGGCCACAGGTCGAAGCCCTTCTCCATGCTCCTGGTAAAGAGCAGCCCCCAGACCATGGCTGCTGGCGTCAGCACTGACTACTGTTGGTTTGTTTGCATCATAATATGCAAGGACAGGTGCTGAGGTCAACATCTCTTTGACTTTTTTAAAAGCATCCTCTTGTGAGTCTCCCCAGGTCCAGGACGTATCATGTTTCAGCAAGCTGTTGATGGGGTGCATCACTGACGAGAGATCAGGCAGAAATTTCCCCAGATAGTTGATCATGCCGATTGCTTGTCGTAGCTCTGTGATGTTTTTGGGACATGGCATTTCTGTGATAGCTCTTACTTTTTCTGGATTTGGTTTAATGCCATGTTTCCTTATGATGTGTCCAAAGTATTTAATGTCAGACTTCCCAAACTGACACTTTGTCTTGTTCAACTTCAGACCTGAAGCTCTGAAGCATGACTGCTTTGAGATTTTGGTCATGATCGTCTTTATCTTTTCCAAAGACTAATATATCATCCATAACAAGCACAGTTCCTTCATGATTCTTTAGTAGAGAGCTCATCTTTTCTTGAAATACTTCTGGAGCAGAGGTGATGCCAAAGGGTAGCCTCCGGAAACAGAACCGACCCACTGGTGTTATGAAGGTTGTGAGTTTCCTGCTAGCATCATCGAGTGGTATTTGCCAAAATCCACTTGAGGCATCCATTGTAGAAAACACTGTAGCTCCTGTTAATCTAGGTGCAATGTCTTCCAGTATTGGCAACACAAATCTTTCTCGTTTCACAGCTTTATTAAGCTTGGTTAAATCCACACATATCCTTACTCTTCTGTCCCTTTTAAGGACCGGCACCATAGGGGCACACCAGTCCATTGCCTCCTTGATTTCCTCAATGATGCCTAATGACTGCATTCGCTTTAATTCCTCTTCCACTTGTGGCAGTATAGGGAATGAAATGCGTCGGGGAGTGGAAACGCTGTATGATTTAACATCAGGATGAATCTCTATTTTCACAGGTGAGCAACTTAACAGTCCAATATCACCAAAAACATCATCAAATAATTCAACTCCATCCACTCTGCGAACAAGCCCCATTTTCACAGCTGCTTCACGTCCAAGCAGGTTAGTGGAAAAAGAACCTTTCATCACATAAATCCAGATTGAATGTTGAACATTATTTTTCACACAGTCAGCCAGAAACTTGCCTCTGCAGGTGAGTTTCCCTCCAGGACTCATGAAGACTGCTTTTGTGGCTCTTAGATCTGGGCACTCAGGTAGGCTTTGGTATGTGTGTTCAGATATAACAGTTATATCAGCCCCTGTGTCAATCCTGAATCCTATTGCTGTGCCATTCACCTCTAAGTTTGTGAACCACCGGTCTTTATCTTGCTCTGTATGTTCAGTAATGGTTCCTAAAAACCACACATCACCCTCATCCAGGTCTTTATTTGTGCTTTTCACTGCTCCAACAAGTTTGGTTTTGCATACGCCTCCAAAATGTCCTGTTTTATTGCACCTATGGCAACGTTTTCCTCTTGCAGGACACTGTCCAGCCTCATGCAACCTCCCACACCTTGAACAGGGGTCAGACTTTAAAGCTCCTCTGTTATATTGGGTGTTTCTAGCTTTATACTGTTTTGTCCTGTTAAATGGCTGGAACTGTTTTAGTTTTCGGCTTATTGCATTTACTTCACACTCAGCCGCTCTGGCCTCTACATTTTTATTAGTTCGGACTGACGAGCAATACTGATGGCTTTTTCGAGTGTCAAATCCACTTCAAGATGTAGCTTTTGAGAAACATCATTATCCAAAATACCTATGACAATGCGGTCACGTATTTGTTCATCTTTGGTAGCTCCAAAATCACAATATTCAGCCAATTCATAAAGGCACCTGACAAAAGACTCCACGCTCTCCCCCTGTTGCTGGGAGCGTCTGTGAAAGCATGAACGTTCATGGATCGTGTTTCTTTTAGGCACAAAATGTTCATCAAACTGCTGCATAATTGCTTCATAATAGTCGTCATCATTAGTTGTGAATGTGAAGGAGGTAAATATTGGCTCTGCCTCTTGGCCCATCGCGTACAAAAGTGTATAAACTTGTACATCACCATCTTCCTGGTCAAGCTTTGTAGCGATCCGATAGCGGGAGAAGCGCTGCTTCCAGGCGGGCCACGCTGATGGCTGGGTGAAGTCAAACGGCTCCGGCGGATGAAACTTTGCCATTTTGATGCTTTAATCTTTTCCTTTTCTCAAGCGGTCTAGTTCGCCACTTCTGACACCATGTCATGAAGCCAAGTCACTCTTCATGGGTTTTCATTCAGCAACTTTATTTGTCCGTCTTCAACAGCTTTAGTTCTCTCCCTAACTACATACCCCTCGTTATATCCACAGGTGTTATATAATTAGCTGCACTCCATCCTCATCCATTATGTCCCTGTCTTATCCTGCAGTGCCCCCTAGTGGCTAAACAAGACTATTAGTAAATCACATTACAAGTATGACTTTTTATAACTGTCCATTGTTGTCATCATTCTTTGTTGAAATCAGGTCTCTCTTGTAAATGAGTCCTCGAGGTTCAATGGGATTAACCTGTAGAAATAAAGGTTGAATGAACAAACACCCGCTCTGGTTTGGGTCAAACTTTGACAGGATGTCCACTTTGTTGTGCAAAAGTCTGGAACCTTGTGGTGACGTTCTCGTATGTCTCAGGGATGGTCTGTGGTAAAATAAGTTTTTTATGGACGTTGCCAGTCGTCCGTCTGTCAGGTGAAGGTCATGTGACAGAGGGGCCACGGTCAGGTGTGAAGATCCATACATCTGGATCATCAACACGGGCTCCATCTGGCTCTTGCCTGACATTAGGTTCTGGTCACAGTTCTGGCACTTGTGATTTGTGGAGAGTTGAGAAGGTACTGAGAACAAATAAGCAGAGCGCAGTCAGTGAGGATCCACAACTTCTCCTCCTCCACCATAACCCTCAGCACTGGCTCTCCTCAGGGCTATGTGCTGAGCCCTCTCCTGTTTACTCTGCTCACGTATGATTGTGCAGCTACCCATCCAGGCTGTCACATTGTAAAGTTTGCAGATGATACAGTGGTGGTGGGATGCATCACAAACAATGATGAGTCCAGCTACAGACAGGAGGTGGAACACCTGGAGAGCTGGTGCAAAGAGAAGAACCTTCACATCATTGTGAAGAAGATGAAGGAGATGGTCCTAGACTTAAAACGGAACAAACATACCTACCCCCCACACCCCCACACACAATCGAACATAGGAGGATCTGTGGTGGAAGTGGTCTCCAGCTACAAGTACTTGGGTGAGCACCTGAACAACAACCTCAGCTGGAGCAACAACACCACCAGCCTGATGAAGAAAGATCATCAGAGACTCTACTTCCTCAGACGGCTGAGACGAGCTGGTCTGGAAGCTCAGTCCTCACCTCCTTCTACAGGTGTGCAGTGGAGAGCATCCTGTGCTCCAGCATCAATGTGTGGCATGGAGGCTGCACAGCTGCAGAAAGAAAAGCTTTGCAGAGAGTGGTGAAGGCTGCACAGAAGATGTTGGAGTCAGTCTCCCCACCATCCCAGACATCTACACCTCCAGATGCAGGAAGAGGGTCACCTGCATCATGAAGGACCACACTCACCCAGCACACACACTTTTTGCCCCGCTCCCCTCAGGAAGGAGGTTGAGGAGCATTAAGTGTAGAACCACTAGACTGAGGAACAGCTTCTACCCTGAGGCTGTTAGACTCATGAATCTCTAACCAGAAGAATCACTACAATGACACTTGGTTGTTGATATGTGCTGCTGATCGCATGCTGCTGACTATCGATTCTGCTGATCTCATGCTACTGACTTATTTCATGCTGCTGTGTTCATCTGTACTCACCTGCTCACACAGACTCATGTTTGTGCTGCTGTTCTGCGTATTGTTTTCGTACTACTCGTGCTTGGCGTAGTTCTTGGTTCATGTCTCGCCTCTTATTACTGTTTTTCTTTTACATTTTATTGTTGGATGTAACTGGGACCCTGTGAACATCATTTCGCTCCACCACATGTACCACATGTGGAGCGAATGACAACGAAACTTTGACCTTGAGAAGGGTTCTGGATAAGTTCCAGAGGGCCACAATACCTAGTTTCAAGATGTTAAATTTAGCGCACGTTTAGGACGTGCTCGCAGTCCGTGTGACACGGCTGTGGGTCGTGAACCTGCAGGAACGTCTCAGGACATTTAGGACCTCCTGGAGGTTCACGTCCCACTCACGTCCCACTTGAACTCATGGGCAGTCAGAGTCACTCACTCTTCTCCAGGGTTCTGTGGAGAGTGGTCAGCGTGTTGAACAGAGTCTTGCCGTGCTTTCTGGGCAACGATCGCCATGACAACGGCTTCTTCTCCTCGGACCTTGGAGCACACAGGCACAGCGTCAGACCAGTCTTCATCACAATCAGTTTTAGTCACAGTTCCTGCTGGTTCTCTGAGGGAACCTGACTCACTGGAAGATTGTGTTGGTGTCCAGGTCCACACACATCACCTCAGCTGGGGGGTCGTGAAGGTCAAAGTAGCTGGAGTGAACGCCCACGATGAAGGGCATGGGCGCCAGCAAGACGTCGGCCATCTGCAGCGGGCACAGAGGGATGTAGGGGCAGAGCCAGCGCAGGGGGAAGGTCATCTGGAAAATGCAAAGGTACACACACATATACACACAGGTTACACTCACAGGTACACACAGGTATACAGTAGTCCCTCGCTATTATCGCGGACCCGATCTATCGCTGTTTTTCAGAATAAAACTGGACACGACACGCAACTGGCTGATTGATGGATGAGCCACGCAATCGGCATGACATTTTTATTTAAAATATTTTAAAATTATTTAGCACCTGCTGCACCTTTGTGCAGACCATACTACAGGAGAAAGTCCTCCTGCAGCTCCGCCACCTTCCTCTGTGATCTCCGTTCTGATGAGAAGTGGGCGTGGCCGAGAGCTGAGTTCATGATATTCTGTGCTGGACTTGTGTCTCTACTGGTCCTGTTAGACCTCAGTGCTGCATCTGATACAGTTCATCACAATATTTTACTACAGAGGCTTGAATATGATGCTGGGATTACAGGAACAGCTCTAAAATGGTTTAAATCATATCTATCTGATAGATTCCAGTTTGTAAATGTAAATAATAAATCTGCTTCATACACCAAAGTTAGTCATGGAGTTCCTCAGGGTTCCGTGCTTGGACCAGTACTCTTTACTTTATATTTGCTTCTATTAGGTAAAATTAGTAAATTTATTATTATTTTTTGTGTGTGTAACGTGCGTGTGTAATGTGTGTGTGTGTAACGTGCGTGTGTAACGTGCGTAACGTGTGTGTGAGTCTCACAGAGACGAGGGCCTCGCTGACGGAGGTGAGGACGTCGGGTCTGAGCGAGTGCAGCAGCAGTTTGTGTTCTATGAGGACGGCGAGCAGCAGCGTGCACGTGCTCTCTGGACCGAGGTTCTGCAGCAGCTTCAGGAAGCTCGCGCCACTGACACACACACACACACACAGAGTTTATGATGAGGCTCCAGCCAGTGGACCAAAGCTGTGAGTGGGACAGACCTGAGGGGGAGGGGGGAGGAGACGGGCTGGCAGAGCAGCAGGTTGTCGTACGGTGAGAGCTGCAACACAAACACCTTCAGCTTCACTGTGAACCATGGGAGCACAGGTGTGTGTGTGTGTGTGTGTGTGTGTGTGTGTGTGTGTGTGCTGGAACACAAGTGCTGCTTTGACTTAACACCTGGACGAGGATCCGAGGACGTTGAGGGGACGGAAACGGGACGTTGTGCATGAAGCTGGAGATGTGTCTGCAAACACAAACATCCGGTAATTACCGGAAACTGTTCTTAGAACTAAAAATCAATTTTTTGTCAATTTTGAAACAATCAAAACAAGAGAGAAAAACAGAAATTACTTTTTGTCCAAAACACAGCATGAATGATGAGAAGTAAAAAAAACTGCTGAAATCTAGCTGAAGTACTGCTTAATGACTGCTGAAGTACAGCTGAAGTACTGCTGAAGTACTACAGAATGACTGCTGAAGTACAGCTGAAGTACTGCTGAAGTACTGCTTAATGACTACTGAAGTACAGCTGAAGTACTGCTGAAGTACTACAGAATGACTGCTGAAGTACAGCTGAAGTACTGCTGAAGTACTGCTTAATGACTACTGAAGTACAGCTGAAATACTGCTTAATGACTGCTGAAGTACAGCTGAAGTACTGCTTAATGACTGCTGAAGTACTGCTTAATGACTGCTGAAGTACAGCTGAAGTACTGCTTAATGACTGCTGAAGTACAGCTGAAGTACTGCTGAAGTACTGCTTAATGACTGCTGAAGTACAGCTGAAGTACAGCTTAATTACTGCTGAAGTACAGCTGAAGTACTGCTGAAGTACAGCTGAAGTACAGCTGAAGTACAGCTTAATGACTGCTGAAGTACAGCTGAAGTACAGCTGAAGTACTGCTGAATGAGTGTAAAAATGACATGTTGTATCGCTCCATACAAATCAGAACAGACTTTTCAAGAGGCAGGACGTGCGGCCCAGAGATGGAGTATCTGTAGATGAAGGTGAGGAACTTCTGGAAGACGGTGAAGAAGGGCCAGTGGGACAGGACACAGATGCTCTTCTTGACATGGAGACTGCGGCTGCTGATGGGACGCCGGTCCACCACGCTGAGCAGGCCGAGCTGAATGCTCTGCCGCTCTGACAGAAGATCCCTGCAGAACGACTCGTAGAACTGGATGGCAGCACCATAAACCTGAGGAGAGAGGCAGCTTCCATCAGGAGGGGCTGGATGGTTTGAGGTCATGCAGAGTTCAGTGAAACTAAATATATTACTGTGTGTAAAAACTGCTTTAGCTGTGGCAGCGCCTGATATATGGAACGACCTCTTGGACATCAGTTCAATTAATTTCAATTCAATTCAGTTTGTTTCTAAAGCTCCAAGTCACAACAGAAGTCATCTTAGGACACTTAACTGAAACATTCATTAACTGCATAAAAATACGTTAACACTATTCAAAAAGTTAAGTCTGGTCCAAGTTCAAAAAACAAACAAAAATGTAGAAACGTTTCGTCTTTTATCTAAAAGACTCTTCAGTCTGAGGAACTGCAACAAACTCATTCTTATAAATAGCACCTTCTCATTGTGCAGGGCTATTCAACAAAACTGCTCAGGGGGCCGCAGTTTATGAAAACCAACAGCTTGGGGGCCAGAAATCCAGTGATTAAAATCATAAACCAAAGTTGGTTCAATTCTGAGTTACGTACTTTAAAGCAGCATCTATAAACCAGGAGAGAAAATGGCGCTCTACTAATGTTGAGGAATTTTATTTAACTTGTAAAGATAGTCTGCTAACATATAAAAAAGCTCTCCGTAAAGCTAGAACTTTATATTACTCATCTTTAATGGAGAAGAATAAAAATAACCCTAGGTTTCTGTTTAGTACTATTGCTAGTCTAATTAAAAGTCCCATTTCTGTTGAACCATGTATCCCTACAACTATAAGTAGTGATGACTTCATGAGATTCTTTATAAATAAAATTATTTCAATTAGAGAGAAAATTCAAACCAACATTCCTACTATCACCTCTGGTTCTGTGTCAGATGGGACAACTTTAAAAATGTAACTAGAACCTGATTTATGTTCAGACTGTTTTGTCCTGTTGAGCTCTCTGAATTGTTAAAAATAATAGATTAATCCAAACCACATGTCTGCTAGATCCCATCCCAACCAGACTGTTTAAAGAGGTATTTTCCTTAATAATCACATCTTGGATCTACTTAATTTGTCTCTAATAAATGGTTACATACCACAGAGCTTTAAGGTTGCTGTAATTAAACCTTTACTTAAGAAGTCTGATCTTGATTCAGAAATTCTGGCCAACTATAGATCTATATCTAATCTAACTTTCATCTAAAAAATTCTAGAGAAACTAGTTGCAGGTCAGTTGTGTGAACATCTACAAAGAAATAATCTGTTT